AAAGTCACTAATCATCCGAGACATGCAAATCAAAACAACAATGCGGTACCATCTCACACCTGTCAGAATGGCTATCATCAACAAATCAACAAACGACAAGTGCTGGAGAGGATGTGGAGAAAAAGGAACCCTTGTGCACTGCTGGTGGGAATGCAGACTGGTGCAGTCACTGTGGAGAACAGTATGGAGTTTCCTCAAAAAACTAAAAATGGAACTCACATTTGACCCAGTGATCCCACTCCTAGGAATATATCCCAAGAAACTAGAAACATCAATCAGAAAGGATATGTGCACCCCTATGTTCATAGCAGCACAATTTACAATAGCTAACTAAGATTTGGAAATAGCCTAAGTGCCCATCAGCAGATGAGTGGATTAAAAAACTGTGGTACGTCTACACAATGGAATTCTACACTGCAGGGCCGTCCTTGGGGGGGCGAAAGCAGCAGTGAGACTGCCACCCCCGACCTTGCCGCTTCGCTTCCCTCGTGAAGCCTCCACTCCAGCCACTGGGCCATGGTAGGTTTGGGGGGTACAGACACCCAAAGCCACCGAGCCCATGTTTTCTGCCTCTCTCCTGCACCCACGGATGGGAGTCTCCATGGCTGCGAGGCAGGGGGCCCCCAGGGCAGGGTGACTATGGGACTCTCGGTGCTGAGTCAGAATGTCTCGGGGAACAGGGACAGGTGGTCACGGGCGCCACGAAGGGCAAGGGGTTGACTGAAGATGTCTGGGTACCCACCTACACCCACCTGAACTTCCACCTCCACCTGGCTCAAGGCCCAGTCTGATCCCACGGGCCTTCTCCGCCCTCTAGTGGCTGCCAGAGGGAACGGCAAATATCACCCAGCTTCAGACAACGCCTGGCAAACCTCAGGACCCACGGGCATCTGCAGAAATTCAGAGAATGGAGTCAGACCACTGGCTCTGCCTTCAGGATGGGCAGCAGTGACCCTCACTCGATGACACACCAGCTCGCGGCAGAGGGTGGCTGCTCAGTCATGGGAGACCCTGCTCAGAGTCTTACACGTCTTGGACCCTATCTGATCCTCTGCCTGTCCAAGACCTTTAATCCGGACCCTCGGGCCCTGGTGCTGTAGGGAACTGAATGTGAGGATGCCTGTGGTGGCGAACACAGCGCCTGGCAAACACGATGTCCTCAACAAGTGACTATTAAAGTTTCTAAAACAATCGGGGAAAGCCTGGCATTACCCACTTGGAGGAGTTTCCTTGGTAATCCCTGCAAGACCCGCCTGTGGGTGCCAGTTCAGCAAATAATTCTGTCTCCCTCCAACAGGGTCCCCCTCAGCTGACATAGGGCAGGAAACTCTCCATGGGGCCGTCCTGGGCGCTGGGGGGCTGTGAGCAGCATCCCTGGCCCCCATCCACTCGATGCCAGGAACCCCGTTGTGACAACCACAGATGTCCCCAGATTGGCCTCCTGCCCTTGGGGGGCAGGATCACCCTCAGTTGTATGCAAAGGCATCAAAGCCAAAGGAAACGCTTGGGATTTTCAGCCACTCTGTGACGTCCTGTTGGCATGTCAGAGTGAAACTCAAGCACCACGCTGAGCGCAGACTGCTGGAACGTTTTGTCTCCAGATGATGTTCCCAAACCTTCTTCCCTAGAAAAATCCTCAGTAGCACACGTGGAAATGTAATTAGCGGCCTTTTTCCTCTGTGGTAATGACACAGATTTGGGTCTGTAATAAAGAGGAACGAGTCCCTTTAGACCTGAGGGCCAGACTGTTCAGGGCCCCCAGTTGGCACTGCTGACATCAGGACCTGGTCATTCCCTGTGGGGGACTCTCCTGGGCACTGTGGGGTACTGAGCAGCATCCCTGGCCCCACCCACCTGATACCAGGAGCACCCCCAATCGTGAGAACTACAGATGTCCTCGGACATTGTCCTGTCCCCTGGGAGGCCCACAAATACAGAATTTCCAATGGCTCAAGGATTTAAGTGCAAAATATGCAATTCGGAGACAATGCAGGTGAATTGTTTTTATGTCTTGAAATTGAAGGCCTCCCAGACACAAAGGAGGACACTTGTGCCCGGGAAACATTTACAGTCCCAGTTCCTACGGCAGAACCACCGCCAGCCAAGTGGGGAGACACACTCAGAAAAAGAGTGGCACATGTGACGGGCACCAGACAGCGTCCAAATGGAGAAATAGAGCAAGTTCCCACGAATGCGTGCAAAGAGCTCATGCAAGTCCACGACACAGAGAAACCCCCAACACCAAGGCGAGTAGAAAACACGGCCAGGCCACTCACAGCAGACGCTCCCGAGAGCAAATGCTGAACTCATGGATAACACAGGAGACCCACACACAGCAGCCAGGCAAGCGCCCCGGTGGTCAGATTGGTAAAGACATGACAACTGCAGTTGGGATGGTAGGAAAAGGGGCCCTGGGAGTAAAACATGGTACATTTCTGGAGGTCCCTGTGGCTGAAAGTCAAAAATGTAAATGAAAATACCCTGATTTAAACACACACACACACACACACACACCACAAACCTACTGATAGGAACTTATCCCAAATAATAAGCAACCAAGGTTGCACAAAGTACACAAGGACATTCATCCCAGAGCACTGCACACAAGGAAAAGAAAATAAACACCCAAAGAAGCCAACCAAGAGGAAACCAGTCAAATCAATTACTGATTTAAACACACACACACATACACACACACACACACCCCACAAACCTACTTATAGGAACTTATCCCAAATAATAAGCAACCAAGGTTGTACAAAGTACACAAGGACATTCATCCCAGAGCTCTGCACACAAGGAAAAGAAAATAAACACCCAGAGAAGCCAACCAAGAGGAAACCAGTCAAATCAATTATAAAATCATTTTAAAGAAATAAATTATAATTTCTCTATAAGGTGGACTGTTAAGCCAACATCAGGAAAGATGGAAATCTAGCTTTACTGATGAGAAAAATGCCCATCAAGAAAAATGAGCTCATTAGAGGAAAAAATAATCTTCGTATCTAAAACCAGTGTGTGCATGTAATTCACAGAGACTCGAGGAGGACGCTCACCAGATGTCGGCAACAACCATCGCCGGCAGGGTTTAGGTCCCCCCTTCCCTGTACATGCCTGCATTTCCACTTTCTTTTTACAGGAAGTCAGTGTGACGTTGACACTAAAGAGAATGGATGAGGGAGGCTTGCTGGTCCACACGCTGCGAAGACCATACACCGGCCACAACCTTGCCCGACAACCTGCACGCAGTTCACCAAACTCCCCTCTGGTCGGCGACTTTGTGAGACAGGAGTTACGTTTTACATCTGCTCTGGACCTAGGCTGAGCGTTAACAAGTTGGGCAGACACCAGGCTCCAACTTCGGCTTTTGGTCTCTGGCCTCAGGATCAGCCTCTCTCTCTGGCTTAGCGAAAATATATAGGTTTTAACATTACTGAAGTGCACGTTACCTTCTATAAAATTCACTAGTTTGAAGTGCACACCTCAGATTTTCTAGTGAGTTCGTGGAGTTGTGTGACCGCCCCTGCCACGCAGTGTGGGACCCTTTCCTTCACCCCGGCAGAGTCCGGCGCTCATTCACACTAACCCCTCCCTCCCAGGCCCTGGCAACCACTACAGGTTTGCCTCCTCTAGACATTTCATCTAAATGGCATCATAATGTGTTGCCTTCTTTCCCAACATTTTTTTATACAAATACACACACTGAATGGAAGTAGCCAACATGATAAAGACATCAGATCTCCCTCAAGTTTATTGATAACACAATCCTAATCAAAATGCCATCAGAATGTTTGTTAGTAACCAGAAATTGATTCTAAAGATTGCATGAAAGAGAAAACTCCATAAGAGTCGCAAAAACATTTATGAAAAAAGAAGGAGCAAGGAATGGGGCTGGAAACATACCAGAGAATTATAATAAATACAACAAGCAAGCAGTAGCCCAGAACACATAGCAACCTCTAACTAATTTTTATGTTACTTCCTCTTCCCACATTATACAAGCCACTCAAAATCCTCTGGGGAATGAGACCAGAGATAAACAAAGGAGCTAACAGAACAAGACCCGAGCCTTAGCTTTGCTCCTAACTTGTTAAAAACCTTCCTGGCCCTGGCTGGTGTTGCTCAGTGGGTAGAGTGTCAGCCCAAGCACCAAAGAGTCCTGGGTTTGAGTCCCAGTCAAGGGTACATACCTGGGTTGTAGGTTCGATCCCCAGCCCCTGTTGGGGCACCTGCAGGAGGCAATGAATCAATATGTCTCTCTCACATTGATGTTTTTTGTCTCTCTCTCTCCCCCCCCCCCTCCCCCTTTCCTCCTACTCTCAATAAAAATCAATGGGAAAAATATCCTTAGGTGAGAATTAACAACAAAAAAGGAACCTTCCTGAAGCCACTGTGGTGTTTCCCAGTCTGCCAGGGTGGGTGACGTGTTTCAGATATTCATCACGTCTAGTGACTTAGCACTGTTCCTGTCAATGGTTAAGCTAAGACCGCTGAAAGCTGGCCAGCACAGTTGCCCACTTTCTGCCTTGGCCCCATCCTGGGGTGCACTGGGACCAGTCTATGTTCCCCTACTACTTCATGGGTGACTGTAGCCCAAGAGCAGAAGACATTCCCTGTCACTCTCGTGTGCTCTTTTTTTTAAAAAAATTGTTTTTAAATTGAAGAGGGAGAGAGAGATAGAAACATCAATGATGGGAAAGAATCATTGATCGGTTGCCTCCTGCATGCCCCCTACTGGGGATTGAGCCCAAAACCTGGGCATGTGCCCTGACCAGGAATCCTACTATGACCTCCTGGTTCATAGGTCAACGCTCAACCACACCGGTGGGCTCCCATGCACTCTTGGCAGAAAGGAGAAGAGAAGAGTCAGGCACGCACAGTTGAGGACGCATACTCCAACGGTAAACCAACCTCTTAACGCTCATCTTGGCTCGGACTGGCCAACCCAGCAACTGCATGAAGTGTGAATGTGGAGAAAAGAAAAACATCATGACACCAACCTGTACACAGTGCAAGGCCAAGCTGTCTTCAGCGCCGAGGTTCCAGGAACCCAAAGTCCGCTTCCTGGAAGAAAACGTAAGACTTAGTTGGTCATCGTGTGGCCAGAAACTTGGGTGTTACTGTGGGCATTGGCACCGAAGAGTCATGAGCTCTTGGTTAGACAGCAGTGAAAAGCATTCTGGGAGTCCTGCCTTTGGGTCACACTGACAGGCACTGGGGACAGCACAAATAGGAGGCTTCAAGATGCAGAGAGGGTAGGTTTGAGAAGCAACGAGAGCCCTGGCCGGTGTGGCTCAGTTGGTTGGAGTGTCATCCCCCTCACTGAAAGGTTGCCGGTTTGATCCCCACTCGGGGTACATATGGGAGGCGGCCAATCGATGTTTCTCTCTAAAATCAATGGACATATCCTCAGGTGAGGATTTTTTTTAAAAAAAGGGAGGCGATTAGAGATTGACGACATTATCCCTAATAAATTTCCAAAACGAAGTTAAATGAGAGGATTGGATGTTTACATGACCTTTTAGAGTTTGCAAAAGACAGTCACCTGCATCATTTGAATCTCATGGTCCCCGGGGAGGAAGAAGGGGAGAGTGAGTCAACCTCTTGCCCCAGGGTACCCACAGGGTGACCAGGTCACCCAGATCTGCCTAAGGAGTTGTGAGAACTAAATGCATCGTGGGGTCATAGACGGGGTCCTGGGGTAGAAAGAGGGAAAACTAGTGAAATCTGAATAGAGAGTAGAGCTGAGTTCACATGCATGTACCTGTCTGTCTCCTGGTTGTCACAATGTCCCATGATTACGGAAGACATGACCCATTGAAAACTAGGTGGTGGGTAGACAGGACTCGCTGTGCTTTGAAACTCTTCTGAAATCTTAAACCACTCCAAAATAAGAAGTGTACTTAACAAAACAACTAATGAAAAATTTTAAGTGCTGTTTCCTTCCTCTGGGTTCAGGGTGATTTGCTGCCAGTAAAAGGCCAGGATGTCGAACTGAAATCCCCACCAACACCCGCAGATGGCGCCACTGCTCCAGGAATGCCCTAAGCCCTTTGGGATTCTGAAACTGCTAGAATCTACCCAACAGGATCTGCTCTTCTAGGCTGCAATTTAGGACAAGAACTGCTGGGGTACTGAGGCAAGAGGGGCACCCGGGGACTTCCTACCAAGCAGCAGTGGCTGGAAGAGATGAGAGATGAAAGGGCTGGAACAACATGCCCATGGACTTGGAGGCCAAGACTTGCCTCAGCCTTGCAGGAACTACTAGTATCTACTAGTAAGTATATGGTCCTTCAACTTTTTTTTTTAAATCAATTAAAAAATCACAAGAAATTGCAAAGTTAGCAAAGAGGAGTCCCAGTTCCCCAGATGGAAGCTCTACACAACTAAGGGACATTATCAAAACCAGGAAACAGTGACTAATAAACTGGGCACCATCTTTTAGACAGTCTTATTGAGATATCATTCACCCATGTGAAGTGCATGATTCAGTGGTTTTTAGTATATTCACAAAGTTGTGCAACCAACACCATAATTGAATTTAGGACATTTTCATCACCCTTAAAGGATACCTGTCCCCATCAGCAGTCACTCCCCAGCCCCTGGCAACCACTAACCTACTTCCTGAGGATGTGCCTGTCCTGGACAGTTCACATAAATGGAATCACACACTGTGTGGCCTTTGGTGTCTGGCTTCTCTCACTGAGCATCGTGTGTTCAAGGTCCATCCACATTGTAGGGAGTGTCAGTGCCTCACTGCTTTTCATGGCTGAGTAATAAGTCTACTGTGTGGATGGACACATTATTTAACCATCATCCACTAGTGGACATTTAGGCTGTTTCCACCTTTTGGCTGTTGTGAATCATCCTGCTGCAAACATCGATGTCTTATGAATCATTTTAAAATGGTTTCTCACTCTGCTTCCACATCTACCAACTGCAAATCTCCCTGTCCCCAGGTCCTGCGGACCCTGGCTGCTGGCTGCTGTCCTTGAGCCCTTGGTCTTGGACTTGAGCAGTACGGTGACCTCCACCCCTGCTGTCCTTGACCCAGACCAGCTTGGGCCAGGACAGGGAGCAGCCAGGACAAACACATCCGTGATGCTCTGTCCCCGGGGCCATGAGATGGCAGGCTGTGAGCTCTACCAGCTGGCACCGGGCTGTCCCCATGACCTTCAAGGGCTCGCTCACCCAGACAAACCGCTGGACTTTCACTTTCCCATCAGAGTGAATCCCAATGCGCACCCCCTCCCCGAAGGTCAGCAGTGAAAAGAGGAAGTGGGACCTCTCTGAAGGACCTGCTGCAGAATTTGCAGAGCCAGTGAAAAAATGAAACCATGGGACCCCTGGTTCAAAAATTAGTGCAAATTTCAAGATGGCAACAGCAGGGTGCTCAGGGGCCTGCAAACCCTCACAGACCCTGCCCTCAGGAACTGCCCACGAGCAGGGCAGATAGACCTCAGACACGAATAACGAACACTCTGGGTAGAAAATCCCAGGTGCTGGGAGGAAAAAATAGATCCTCAAGGAAATGGGCACCATTTACCATGATGATCAGGAACACCCTTGGGAAGGACGCTTACTCTTGCTGTAGGCAGCACTTCTTACAACCGCTGAGCCCCACTGTCCACAAGCCTTTTTAAAACATCGAGGTGTCATTCACATACTATAAAAGTTACCCTTTTAAAGTGTCCGATTCCATGGCTTTTAGGATATTTACAGGGGGTGCAAGCCTCGAACCATATAATCCCAGGACACTGCCACTGCCCCCTGGAGAGACCCTGTGCCCATCAGCATCATATGGTTCAAAGTTGAGTCTCCCCAGGAGAGACAAGATCCCAAATGGCAGGAATCTCATGTGTTTTGCTTGCATGGCAGTTCCAATAGCTTTCACCGAGCCCGCCTACAGGAGGGGCTCAGTAATTCCTCACCCAGACTGTGTGTCATCCAGTGGGTGCTAAGGGAACAGCCTGTGCTAAGGGAACAGCCTGTGGAGCAGGAGGAGACCAGGCTGAGCCTAGGCTTGGGTGAGGTGGGGCCCCTTCCTGCTGGAACTTGGCCTGAAATGGGACTGACACTTGGGAACCCACTGCATTCCTATGGGCCGGGCACAGGGCGCGGTCAGCGCAGGCTTGGCTTCGAGCCAGCCGGTAATGCTGGCTAGTCCTCAGTTGCAGACTTCAGCTGTGTCATCTGTCACCTTGAAAAGGGAAAACAAAAACCACGATCTCAAACCAAGAGTACTTGAGGTTCTTCCATCGTTAATTTCCTGATCATTAATTTCTGTTTTCCTTATCATTCAGAAAGGTTCAATAGATTTGTCAGATTTGTCAGCGAGTGTGTCCAAGCAGTGGGTGGTGGGCAGGGACACAGGTGACAGGATCCTGAGTTTCCAAGCCTGGATGCCCGAAACTGCCAAAAACAGGGCCGTGAAATTGGTTTAGGGGGGATCCCTGAGAAAGCAACACAGGCCTGGAGGAATCAGATTGCTCTGAACCCTTCAGAACCCATCACCAGTAAGAAGGCTGAGGAACCAGCCCTCACTGACATCAAATCTAGGCAGGAAGCCAGCAAGTCACAACCAATTTCTCTAGACCAGAGCTACCAGAACTTTTTTTAAAAATATTTTTTTATTGATTGCAGAGAGGAAGGGAGAGGGAGAGAGAAATAGAAACATCAATGATGACAGAGAATCATTGATCGACTGCCTCCTGCATGCACCACACTGGGGATCGAGCCCACAACCCGGGCATGTGCCCTGACTGGGCCCGTGACCTTCTGGTTTATAGGTCAACACTCAATCAGTGAGCCATGCCAGCCAAGCGCTACCAGAACTTTTTCAAAGGGTTTGCACAACCAACATCTTGTATGCAAATGCTGCCCTCCCTCCCTTTAGAATCCCTCTCCTCACTGCTTACATTTGGGCCATCCTGGACACTGTGGGGTGCTGCAGCATTCCTGGCCCACCACTCAATGCCAGGGGCTCCTGAGGTCATTAGGGCCATAGATGTCCCCAAATGTTGCCCAGTGTACCCTGTCAGGAGAAGGGGGGAGGGAAAAACACTGCACTACAGCTTCCTGAGCTGCTGTCTTATCTTGAAGGGTAAATCCCTTTTGGGGCAGGACCCTGTTATCAATCTTATGGCTGCGGAAGGGGTGGGGCAAAAGGGTACTCATGGAGAACTGGGGGGCAGCGGGGCCCGTGGGCTGCCAAAGTGGGATGGAATGGGCTTTAACCCTCACTCCTGAAGCCAGGGGCCCCTGGGTAGATTCTGAGGCACACCTGAGACCCAGGTTTGATTACACGCTCATGGAGCAGCAAAAAAGGGACACACCATCCCTGTCATTCCTGTCAGATATGAATACCCATAAATTGTGTGCTCTCACCCTGGCCAGTGTGGCTCAGTTGGTTGAGCATCAAGAGGTTGCTGGTTCGATTCCCAGTCAGAGGTAAGGGCACATGCCAGGGTTGCAGGCTTGATCCCCAGTAGGGGGTGCGCAGGAAGGAGGCAGCCAATCAATGTTTTTCTCTCACACATTGATGTTTCTCTCCCTCACACTCTCTCCCTTCCTCTCTCTCTCTAAAATCAATTTAAAAACATATTTAAAAATTGTGTATTCTCTACAGGGTGAGTTTGGTTCTTTAGGGCAGGGGGATGGACGAGGATATCACAATGGTGCTGGCCCTCCAGGAGCCCCAGCGTGTAACAGACACACAGTATGTCGGTGTTATGAGAATTTCCTACAGGGTGGCTGATAAACACTGGTTTCTTCTGAGGAAGAAAAACAGCATTCCACACTAATTACACGGCAGGAGTCATTTGGGAAAGACGATGGCCCACAAGGCACTGTGGGTCAGGCAGACGTGTGCGAGTGCTGGCTGCGTGTTCATGTCCCGTGGCTGTTTTCTCCGCTGGGAAAGAGCAAATACCATCTACTTGGGGGTTGAGAAAAAGACTGACATTTGAACACGAATGCACAGAAAGTGCTCTGTGAGAAGTCCTCCTGTAACCCAGAACAAAGGAGAGAGAAATAAACTGTTTACTGCCGGCCTGGTCCCATGA